AACGAGCATTCTATACGAGAAATCGCAGAAGTCTTGCCCGAATTCGACCCAACGAATGAAGATTCTATTACGGCTACGCAATGTGGGTGGACGCATCACCAAGAATGCATGCTACTTGCAAGGAGTTCTCAAATGAGTTTGTCACCGAGTTCGGTTGCGAATACGATGAAGCGGATATACATTACAATATGTCGCGCGTTGCTCGAAGGCAAAACGAAACAATAACTGAGTTCATTTTTCGTGTCTCTGCGCTAGGACGATGTCATAATCTTAGTGAGATGGCTATCACGAAATACGCCCGAGAAGGATTAAAACATCGAGAACTACAAATGGCGATTGCTCCGCAAAAATACGCATCCGTTAAAGAAATGCGTGAAGCATGTGAGAACTTTTTACAAAATTGCATTGAGATAAACGAAAAGCCTTTTCATAATGCGAACAAAGAATACAATCGTTCAGTAAAGCAAAGAATGTTATGTGTTACAATTGTGGTGAGTCAGGGCACTTGTCAGTAAATTGTGCAAGACCCCCAAAACATCCTCGTTGTATAGATTGTAATAAGGTGCACCCCAAAAATGAACAGCAAAATTGCGGAAAACCATCAGCTTTCGTGCGAAAAACAAGTATTATCGACAATAAATTTCTTAAGAAAATAACGATTGATGGCAAGCAAGCCATTGCATTTATGGATACTGGATGCGAATGTAATACGGTCCGGGAAACATTTGCCAACGATATTGGTGGTACGCGCAGCAAAAACCCATTTACCATCGGTGGATTCGGTGGTGGTATAGAACGATCTGAGATACAAATTGAGACGGATTTGAAAATCGATGAGGTTGAAAAACCGTTGACGTTGCACGTCTTCAAAGATTGTGTGTTGAATTACGATCTATTGCTCGGGGACGAAATATTCAATAGCGAAAATATACGCGCTGTATATGACAACCGGACAGTTCAAATTCGAAGACAAAGTAAAAACGACGTGTAAAATTAATAAACTTAGTCCAACAACGGAAGATGACGTGTATATGGACACTGTAAATTCAGACTCTAAGGGAAAGCTGTTAGAAGTGATGAATGAATTCCGAGAATGTTTCGCTACAAGTATGGATGGAATCGGTAAAACTAGTGTAGTCGAAATGAAAATTGAGTTGATGACCAACGAGGTGATCGCACAAGTCCCGTATAGAGTTCCGGAACCGAAAAAAGAAATCGTTGCGAAGAAAATTCAAGAGTTGCTCGACAATGATATTATAGCTCCGTCTGAATCAGTTATGCGAGTCCAATGTTGCTTGTGAAGAAAAAGAATGGCGAACATCGACTTTGCGTGGACTACCTTCGGATTAATCAATTCACTCGAAAAGAATGCTACCCAATGCCCAATATCGAAGAAAGTTTACAAGAAGCAACGAAGTATCGAATCTACATATCGTTAGATCTTAACTGTGGTTATTATCAAATTCCTATAGAACGTAACAGTCGTAAATATACTGCAGTTGTGGTTCCTGATGGTCTGTATGAGTTTAAAC